CGGGCTCCCTGCTCGGCAGGGAGTCTGCTTCTCCCTCTGACCCTCCCCCCTCTCATGTGCTTGCTCTCTCTCATTCTCTCTCTGTCAAATAATAAATAAAATCTTTAAAAAAAAAATGCTAAATCCTAAGATCATATACCATTATTGTGGCTACATGTAGCATCCTGTTTTGACAATGTTATCCACAGATTCGTTTCATAGAATACTCCCTATCATAACAATTATTATCTAGCAAATTAAGTTTTCATCTTTGCAAAAATATGATCCATTCCAACTCAGAAACAGGAAGCTAAATTTAAACAATTAAAATACGACTTACTCTGATTTTTCTATTGTTAATCACCTTTTAATAATGAAAGATTAAAGATGCTGCATATTTAGCATCAACCAAAATATTTCTTTGATCTCTTTTTTTTTTTTTTTTGGCATAAGGCTGGGATAAGGAGAACTCCATATTGTGGGCTGGGAACGAATAGTGAAAATTCATTTTCTCTTGGCCTTTTAATCTTTATGGTACTTTTTGAGTTAGCAGAGTCGTTCTGTTGATTTTCTTCTTCCTACTTTATTTCTGCTCTACAGAATGTCCGCTGTTTTTGACTGATGAGTCAGCACATCTTGTGCTGTAAATTTTATCATCTCCTTCTTGATGTAGCTTGAATATCAAGTGTGCATGGGAGTAAGAATGGCAACTCTAATGAAGGCATGTGCACTGATAATTTACAAGGTCTATGTCTTTCATTTATCTGGTCTGAAGAAATAAAATTGAATGGGAAGACAAACTTATATTTGGCATTACCTGGATTTGCTCAAAGGGTACTTCAAAGCTGAAGGACTCATTATAGTAGGGGTTAAGTGTGTTCTTTTTAATTGTTGTCTTTTTCTTCTTCAGCCTCTTGCCATTCTGCATCAGATGGATCTTCACATAAGGATCTGAAAAACAGAAACAAAAACTTCAGGAGATCAAAGATACATATTTTAGATTATAATTTAGCTTATTAAAAAACTCGAGTATTCCCAACAGAGAAATCATTTTATAGCATATATTTAATATTTTTTAAAAAATGTAAGTGTAAGCCTTCTTTACTGAAAGATTTTAAGTAACCTATGGGCCAGGTTTTTTGCCATGATATCTCAATATTTATAGCTGGATTTAGGGGATGAGAGCTATTGTGTGCTAATGAACCAGCAATTTGGGGGAAAAAAAAGTCTTGACATGTAACATTTGCCGATGTCCATGGTAGAAATACTCTCAGCATGGCTAATTTCAAGCTACTAAGTAGTTTAACAACTAGCTTACCAAATCCCTGAAATATTAACAATTGGCTCTTCTGAGCTGGCAAAGTACTGGTTGCAGCTTACCACTGCATGGGAGTAAAACTCCTGACAGAGAAAGGACAAAGAAGCCATTTCATGCATTCATTTATTCATTTACTCAATCAATATTAGTTAGGCCCTAGTGATACAGCAGTGAATAAAACCGATCATTGCTGTTTTCATGAGGGAACTTCAGACTTGTTGCAGGGAGGAGACAGTAGGCTTGTAAAGAAATGAAATACATATGAAATTACAAGTTGACAAGAGTGCTCTAGAAGAACAGAGCAAGAATAGAGATAGGATTGAGAATAGCAGGGATGGTATGGTGAGCCTAAGGTAGCAATGGAATTCTTAGATTGCTCGGTAAGGCCTCTCTGTGGAGGTAATATTTAAACTGAGATTTGAAGGTTAAAGGGAGAGAAGAGGCCATGTGCGCGCGCATGTGTGTGTGTGTATGTGTGTGTGTTGCGCATGCAATGATGGGGTGGGTTGTGGTTGGAGAGGGCGAGAGAGAGAGAGAGAGAGAGATCGAGAGAGGCAGATTTAGAAAGGGAGCTCTGCAGGACGTGCCTGATCATCCCTAGGTAGAGAGTAAGTCAGTACACATAGAGGTAATGAGAAAAGGAGCAGGATTCCCTTAGCAGTTTCCCCAAAGCCTCATTAAGTAAAGGTAAAGTGATAAGCAAATCAATGGAGGGGTAAGACAATTCCCATTTACAGTTCTCACTACTAATGGATGAATGACATACCTTCAGGTTACTAAGAACCAACACCCAGGTTTGACAATAGAATCTCTCTACTGTTTTCTTAAATATTTGTCCAGTTCACATGTAATGCATATTCTTTATAGAAAAAGGTCAGAAAACAATGATAAACATAAAGAAAAAAATTAAAAATCATCCATGATTTTACTCCCCTAAAATAATCAGTGCTAAGCCTTCTAAAATTTCTTTCCTCCCTTTTAGTATGTGTAAAGCTTGGAGAAACTTTACAGATAATCTAGTTTAAAACCCACGTATTTTTAGATAACAACCTTTTCTGGTCTGTAGTTTTTTCAGCACAATAAAATTCCGGTTTATTATTGGACATCATTGTTTACACATACATCAAACATGCCAAAACTGGCAGCAACTTCATAGACAGACAAACAAACAAACAAAAAATGAAAGGAAGAAAAGAGGAAACCTTTTATCTTTGGCCTCTTTAACCATCTCATACAGACCAGCTGTTTATAGTACAGCTAAGTGCGTACACAAAAAATGTTACTGGAATTCTCGGAGTAAGATTGTTTTGTTTGTGTGTTTTGTTTTGTTTTTTACAATTTTTTCTCCTTTGAGATTGTAATGAACGTGGTCACACTACAAGTGGAGTCAGAAGTAGGACAGAGAATGCCCCGAAGGCTGGCTTGTTTATCCAAAATTAAAAATGGCTGACCCCAACAATATGTACAGAACATACAGTGTAAATAAAGATTACACACACAAAATTTCCGTTCTAAGTATTTTTAGGAGAAAAGCAGGGCCTTGGATATGTTGGTTCTCTTTTCCCTCCCTGCTGCAAATCCACCTTGTGGTTTGGGTTGTGTGGGAGGGAGAACGTGTCACTGTGGGGGCGCTGCCAGCGGGTGGGCCTCTCTCCTTGGTGACCCCGTGTAGATTCGGAGACTGGACGTAGAGGGTAAACTGGTCATGGCCGCCTTTTTTTTTTTAAGTTTAGCTTTTCCTTTTTTGTTGTCTAGTCATCCTCACTGGTCTTCTGCTTCCTGGCGTCACCATCACCCTCTCCTCATCTTCAGCTGCCTGTTTGCCTGCAGCCGCCTCAGCCTCATCCTCCTATCTCTACTCTCTTCTTCACCATCGTCTTCCTCTTCCCCTTCCCCATGTACCTCATTGCTGGCCCCCATTTCCCTCCTTCTCAGCTTTCCCATGAACAGCGGCGTCTCTTTCATTCCCCGCCTCCTTTCCGTAGAGGTGGTGATCCCGCAGCAGGTGTCCGGCACTGAGCGGCGGGCGATCCCGCGCAGCGCCTTACAAACAACGCGAGAGTTGGACGCGCTGGTGAGCATGCTGCCGGAGCCCGTGGCTGCCGCGGTGGCCGCGCGAGGCAGCAGCCAGACGCGGGAACAACGCGAAGATGCCTTTTCTAGAGCAGCCAGTGGGGCCGGAACAGGTTGTTTGTATCTTCCTCTTCCTATCCGCCAGTAGAGCATAACTCCTGTAGGACAGAAACTTCGCCTGCAGTGTTCGCTAATTGAATTTACTAAACAATGCCTGGCGCTATTCAATTTTTTTTTTTTTTTAAGATTTTATTTATTTATTTGAGAGAGAATGAGAGAGACAGAGCATGAGAGGGGGGAGGGCCAGAGGGAGAAGCAGACTCCCCGCCGAGCAGGGAACCCGATGCGGGACTCGATCCCGGGACTCCAGGATCATGACCTGAGCCGAAGGCAGTCGCTTAACCAACTGAGCCACCCAGGTGCCCGGCGCTATTCAATTTTTGTTGAGTAAGTGGAATTTACTTAGGGTCTCGTAATGTGGATCTCCTTACTCTTAGTGCAGTCGTCTTCCATTGTCCCAAAGCCCACGTTACTTGGATATGTGTAGCTTGGGGTTTTCGTTTTTGTTTTTAATGCTCCATCCGCTCAAGGGGTTTGTAATGAAGATTTTCAACATAAGATTTTCAACCAGACCTAGAGATGAGGAACCAGCTCCCTTAACCAAATAGTTGGTCAATTAAATCACTGTAAATAATTGCAAATGAAGGGGGAAAATGGCTTTTTTCACCCATAAACCATCTTTCTCTTCACAACTAATACTGATTTTTGGGTCAGAGATCTTGTTTGCTTAAGAAGTTCCCTGGCTCCTCTGTCCAAACCCCTTGTATCTTTACAAAGATGGGCAAGTTTCCAGTTGCTTTTTGGCACTGACTGAATACCCAAATACTAAATACCCATAAACCAATGTTTATGCCTCCTATGCTCATGTGGTGAAACTTTATCAGCCTAACTAAGGTATAGCTTTTCTCAAGAGATGCACGATGACTACATGTTTATTCATTTAACACAGTAAATGACAAGAAAATTCCTGTGCACCTGCCATTTGAGTAAGCAAATTAAAAACCCAACAAGATAATTTCAGATTCAGATATAAGTTCTGATGTGATGTGATTAATGCCTTGGGGAGAACAGGGTAATTTAGAAAGGGAGCTCCGCAAAGTCCTCATTGAGGAGGCCAGGTTTGAGCTAAGAACCAAATGACAGGAAGGAGCCAGTCATTTGAAGATGTGGAAGCTTATATCAACCAGAAGGAACAGGACACACAAAGGCCCTAAGGTGCACATCCTTTGGCATGTTTGTGGAACAAGAAGAAAGCAAGGGGGAGAGAGGTAGCTGGTGAAGTCAGAGAGGTCACTGCTGACCTGTCACTTTCGTAAGCAGAATCTGCCAATTCTGACAGTGATTCCGAGATATTCTATAATGTCTCAACTTTACTGAGATACAATTGACACATAACGCTGTTTAAGTTTAGGTGTGCAGTGTGATGATTTCATATACATACGGATTGTGTAGTGATCACAAGAAGTTTAGTTAACACATCTGTCATCTCACATTATTACAGTATTTTTGTGTGTGTGTTGAGATCATTTATGCTCTACTCTTTAGCAACTTTCAGTTAAACAATACAGCATTGCCAATTGTAGTTACCATACTATGTACTAGATCTCTAGAACTTACTCATCTTATAAGTTTGTATCCTTTGATCAACATGTCCTCTTTTCCCTCACCCCCTAGCTTGGCCACCATCCTATTCTCTGTTTTCTATGAGTTTGAAATTTATTTTTTATTTTTATTTTTTAAATATTTATTTTATTTACTTGAGAGAGAATGAGAGAGAGCACAGAGGGAGAGGGAGAGGCAGACTCCCTTCTGAGCAGAGAGCCCGATGCGGGGTCCATCCCAGGACCCCTGGATCATGACCTCAACCAAAGGCAGATGCTTAACCAACTGAGCAACCTAGGTGGCGCCCCTATGAGTTTGGAATAAAAAAAAAAATAGAGTCCACATATAAGTGAGGTAATGCAGAATTTGTCTGTCTCTGTCTGACTTACTTCACTTAGCATAACGCCCTTAAGCTCCATCCATGTTGGCGCAAATGGCAGGATTTCCTTCTTTTTTTATGGCTGAATAATATTTTAAATTTATATATATTACATTTTTGTTTTAGAATACTATGAATAATAATAATATTTAGATTATTTTATTTCTATATAAATTTATTGTATATATTATATATATTCATATCACATCTTCTTTATCCATTCATCCATCAGTAGACACCTAGGTTGTGTCCACATCTTGGCTATTGTGAATAATGTTGCAATGAATATAGGGATGCAGATCTCTCTTTGAGATAGTGATTTCGTTTCCCTTAGGTGTATGCCCAGAAATGGGATTGCTGGATCATAGGGTAGTTCTACTTTTGATTTTTTAAGGAACCTCCATGCTGTTTTCCATAGTGGCTGCACCAGTTTGCATTCCCACCAGTGGTGCATGAGGGTTCTCTTTTCTCCACATCCTAGCAAGCGCTTGTTATCATTTGTCTTTTTGATAATAGCCA